TTGTTCGCGCTTTTACCCCGGATCATGACTGCACGTGCACAATTCATGGTTTTGGTTGGTTGTGTTTGTGTGTATGTATGTGTTGGACGCCACATTGCATGACGCTAGTTCATACGTCATGTAATCAGACAAAATGGTATGTATACAGTCATAATTTTTAAAAAAGTACTATCGCGATGTTACGGACAGTGTAACGATGGTGTCATGCGCTGGGAAGGAGCTTGAGTATGAGACAAGGGATGGGAGGTAATCCTCACTGATGGTAGAGTTACATAATGTGCATACCACTAATGGCGTATATTATATACTTACCTCCCTTGCCAAGGCGAAAAAGAAAGTTGATATTTCCGACACCTAACTTCCTGACGCTAGTCGATGAGACGAGGCTCACACAGCCCCTTCAGCATGTTCAACTGACGAAATGTGAGCGTTTAATATGTATGTGGTGCTTGTAACACGGTGTCATGACAAGGTTAGAACACGATGGTGTAAACAGTGCCATGACTTGGTTGGAATTTTTAAGTGTCGTAAATTCTAAGAGTAGTTCGAACACGGATGTAAAACGAAAACCGCTGATGGGGATGCTGTAACTGCTGCTACAGGCAAGTCCGTTAAGTAACACTTTTGATTGCTTTTGTTCGCTTTCCAGCTTCTCCCCACCCACCCCTTATCTCATTATCCAAAAATCTTGGTGGTGCGATACTTTTGACGAGGTGTATATGTTACATAACACTTTGCAAGGAATACTTGTCCCTCGGTATAGCTGCCATGTAGACCATGGTCGAGCGTCATCCTGGAGAGCATAACGTTGGTTGTTCAATCTCCTGCCCCCTCAGTTGATAAAACCATCTGAGTCATCTTCCAGAGCGACCTGTGATGATCCGGGTTAGAATAGGTCTTCAGTAGCACATTCTTGCCGTAAAAGGCGACTATGCTTGTCGTGAGAGGCGACAAACGGGATCGGGTGGTGACTTGGTTGATGTATGTCATCGTATCCCAATTCCGTGGATCGATGCTCATGATATCAATCACCGAATTGTCTGGCTCAGACTCGATTATTTACAGACCATCGTCATATAGTTGGAATATTGCTGAGTGCGGCGTTAAACATCAAACAAAACCAACATAAACTTGTATAGAAAATGATCTACTTCTCATTCAGATCAAATTTATTACATGTGCAGTGTTGGGATGAAATAATATTTACTTGATGAAACAGATTTGAAGCCAGGGAGGTAAGGTTTTAAGCTGAAAGTTATATTTTTTGTTGGCCGGATTCTACATCCGGAAGCATGTACGAGCCTGCAACCTTGATACCTGATGCCGATTGGATTTAATAATATATGTACTTAACATCCTGTTAGCTCACCTCATTCTAAGTTTCAAACCTGCCATGGAACATCCTGACAATAGTGTCTCTGATATCTGCACACTGAATTTAAAGCATAGGGGCCGTGACAGACATTATGATTTTACAATTTTAACCGTAAATGTAGGCTGTTGATGGTCGCTGTGGGCACAGGTGGTACAGATATGTAATGTCTATTTAGTGCAGTTTTACAGCTTGGGTCCAGTTAAAACAAACACTGTACGAGCAGTGATGAGGCGGTATGATCGTTGATAATGGAGGAATTGTGTATACGTTAGCAACCACCTTAAGAGCAAAATGGAGAGGAAAGATTCACCTGTTGATGGTCGCTATCGGCACAGGTGGTACAGATATGTAATCTGTGCGCACCCCACCTTTTTATTTCGAAAAAAATCATTATTTCTGTATAAATTACCACCAAAGACAATAGATAGATCTTAATTGTGCACCTCCCCTTTTAAAAAAAGCTGTATCCGCACATGTAATGGAGGAATTGTGTATACGTTAGCAACCACCTTAAGAGCAAAATGGAGAGAAAAGATTCATCTAAATGACAAGTAAAATTGTCACATGCTATGTCAAAGAGCATATATATGTATATGTAAGAACAAGAAGACATTATCACCTATCAGCGTCAATTATCTGTTAGCTTCCTTTGTAAAGTGCCCACCTTCTCTGATCTTCTTGTTCTTACATGTACATATATATGCCATCTGCCTCATAGCATTCTTTCACCTGATGAAGGAGTAAGCATATACTCAGAAACGCTGTGTTCCTCATACTAAAGAAGTTGACATCCATAAATTCTCACACTTATGAATTATATTTGCAGTTACATATCAAAGTCTGCTACTTTGTTAAAAAAAATGTTTAAAGTCACAGCAAGGCCACTCATTCGCAACCATCTTCTCGAGGCAAGTGGTTAACTGACTATAAAATTCCAGTTTCCACACTTGCCGAACTGGGCTTGTAAAAAGGAGTTACATTTTGGCGGTACTTACGAGTCTATGTATAGTCCAATCAAAATCGCGCACCGAAATCGAAATCCGGTTTTGATCTCTACACTGACCAGTTTGTGTAACCATTTCGTGACAGCCATAGGGTCAATTGTGTACTTTGTGATAAAAGCATGACACTTGGCACAATTGTAGATATTAACATTTCAAATATTGGGGCCACTAAAAATGTCCCTTATGGCCGCTAAATCCAATATGGCAGCCATGGAGGAATGAAATTCCAGTATATCTCACTTGAACATGACATACTTTATTGAGGCCAATTAACTATACCAATAGTGTGTGAACTTCTAAATTATCTAATTATTGGAGAAAGAGGATATCAAAGTTTCAACTGATCCAGGACTTTAATATTGTCTTTAATTTTAAACTGCACAAATTCCATATGACATATTTCCATAAATTCTGTGAATATCCACACAATGATTGAATAATATAACACACACCCCAAGAATAAGTCGTAATATAATGAACAGTTGCAGCACAGTTGCAGGACAGTAACTTGTACCATGGCTCGGACAGGTTGAAAAACCGTATGACCTCTATTCCCTTAACACAATCTTCTTACACTCTCTTAGAAACATGTCTTTCTTCTTTCATATCTTTAAACTCTCTGCTCCCTTTCTCACACTCATTTTTCCAAATCTATATCTGAAATTCTTGTGGGATACTTATTGCGGTTGATTAGGTCACGACCTCTAGGACTCCACACAAGACAATTAACTTTTAAGTCTTAGCTGCAACATTATACTATTGCTGTCACCAACCCCTGGGAAAATAGCCTGAAACGGCCGTTTGCAGCAAGGGCTGGCTGTTTCTTATGTTTTATCTTATAACGATACTAAACACATGCACCCATGTACACATACAAACCCTAACAAAGTTCCAATTAAAAGGATTTTCAAATAACTACAAATACCTAAAATTCAGCTCTAACAAGTGTATACTCATTAGGTGAATACAATGACAGTAACTATATATTTAAAGAACAAAAATTGTCTTTTTAAAAATATGCTGCCTGTAAATAGTTTGGTTGTCTGGGAACAGTTACATGTGATCAGTGTTGCCACCACATTTGCAAAGCGGTGTACTAATTAATGTGACACACTTGCTCTGCTCCCCTTCTCAGACTCTACAACTACATCTGAGAAGCTCTTGGCATGACTTAGAAGCTTGTGGTAGTGTAGTCCACAAAGGACACATCCTGTTAGGTTGGTACATCACCAATAACACAGGCATTCAGTCTCATTGGCGATGTATCAATCGAACAAGATGTGACGAACACGAGGCACGCAAAGAATTGATCACTGAGTATGGCAGAGACACTGATTTCATTCTTCCTGCTTTTGGCTGCTTTGTACCAACATGTCAAGGGCTGCATTTCAAGCTGACCGACGTTGAGGATTGTTGCGTGTCGATTCCCAAATTGGAACAATATATTCGCCCAGATTCTGTACGTTAAAGAACTTAACCAAACAACCAACAATAGTATACAATCAACAATTGTAATACATAATAAACTAGGTTTTCAAATCAATACAAATGACTGCACATCAATTACAATGGCAGTACACAAAATAGTGGTCGTCCAATATTCAATGGCAGTATCAAATACAAGGTACGATGTCAGTGTTGAAGCCAAAGGTTCAGTGGTAATAATATTTATCTATCCCCAGCAAGCTTCCAAGATAGGCCAAGGCTGGATATCCGGGGTCGTAATTGATCCTCACACGAAAGCTGGTCTTGATGTAATCAAGTGTAATGACAGGCACACGCCCGCTCCACTTATATAATCTGGGTCCACAGGTGGCCCAGTCGTCTAAGGCGCCGCGTTCGCTGTGCAGAGTTGCGTCCCTTGGGCACGCCAGAAACCTATGATTGGGGGGGTTCGAATCCCGGTTTGGTTTGTCAGCACAATACCCATGCTCGTGGGTTTGAGACCAGCATCACTTCGAGCTTTCCTCCCACATTAAGCTGACACGCCGTAACTTAACCGTAATACTGTTAAAAAGCAGCGTTAAACCCAACTCACTCACTTATATAATCTAACTAGTAATACATTGTAATATACTTTTATCCTTATATTGAAACCTGTCATTGTTTTTAGTGGTGAGGTGTAAAAGTCAGCGTCAACTTAATACGATGTATAATACTGTATTTCATTTTATTGATCAATGTGATCAATAAAAGTGACAAATGCGCTTAGGAATTGCGCAACACAGGTCGCGAACTAGTCTAGGTTTCTGCTATATCATCCGGGTACTCACGGAAAAACGTAATAACAAAGGCAACAACCAGTCCCGGGGAATTGTTTTAGATCAGTGCCCCTTTAATGTGACATATTAATTGAGTTTGTTGTCTTTATTTTTGTGTGGCCGTTTTGACTTCGCTTTTTGAGGCCATTCTAACATTAGGCCGTTTTGATCTGTCATCAAAATCGTTTACAGGGAACACCACAGAGATATGGTTGTTGCAACTTTCCCATGTACAAGTTGATCAATGTAGTTCTATTGCTTATTTATTCCATAAGGTCTTTCTTATGTGGCTAAAATATTATTTGGAATTTCGCTGGTCCGTTTTGCCCAATGAAATTGTTCATGAATATGGCCCGCGGGACAAGGCTATAAATAGCTTCTCGGTCTTTCCTCGGGGCCGAGTTTACTGCGTCTCCAGTATATCCACCCCAAAGGCCTTGAAAGGGTGACTGGCAGAATCGCTGGGACACGAACACTTTGAAGATGATGATAATCAAATGCGGTTGATCTAGACGGTCTGAAAGCGATCATAAGTCAACTGAACAACTCGTCAAGCTATCGAAAGTCAACCTAAGAGAAGACGCGCCACCCGGAGACTTGCAACGCCTTCAGCAACAGCAGGTACCCTCCTTCGCGGTCAGCATGTGATTGTTTCGCCCAGAACTGCAGAAGGTAACGCCACTAGAATTTCTCATTATGTATCTAATAACAATCGCAATGCACTAAAATGAAGTCTTACCTATATATGAGCACATTTATTTCTGTTTACAATTAAAAAATAATGACCACATCTTGTCAATTTAATCGTGATAATGCCCCGCCATGCTTGACGAGTCAATCAGGCGCCATCTTGTTAACGTCACCTGATTTCGTATCTCTTCCCAAGCTCCTTCCCAGCGGGTGACACCTTGTTACACTCTCGGTAACATCGCTGCCACCAGTGTTAGACATGTTCGACACACGTTATGTGAAGAACCTTCTCGATGTACTGCTCTTTGAAAACTTTGCAGTCAGAAGAAATGTCTCTGTCTTAGAACCTCCAATAAAAACGTATATTCTGTTCGATGCTACATCGTTAATCCGACAATCGGCTTTATCCGACACTAATGATGGGAACCGATTAAATCAGTGCTATTTAGACCCGTTAATCCGACATTCTCGCACTCCGACTCCGACTCCGACACACCTAATTTGCAACGAATTACCGAAATCACTTATTAATCTGTCTCGTTAATCCGACACAGTGATCAGCGTACTCCGTGGTCATCTGCCCTTTACTTCTATTCTAAGTGAAAGAATTAATAATTATCTAGAAAATAATAATTTGTTATCAGAATCACAAGGAGGATTTCGACACGGATAGTCTACTGTTGATAACATGTTCGTATTGCACTCCCTCATTGAATACCTTAGGGCACACAAAAAGAAACTGTATTGTACATTTATAGATTTCTCTAAGGCCTTCGATAACGTTTGGTGCTTTGGACTCTGGCAAAAAGTAATAAAAACAAATGTACAAGGTAAACGTTTCGAGATCATATTTAACATGTATCAAGGCATAAAGTCGTGTGAAAATTCATCGTTTTTCTCTAGTAATATCGGAGTTAGACAGGGGGGAAATCTATCGCCAATTCTCTTTGCCCTGTACCTAAATGACCTTGAAGAATATCTAAAACAGAAAATATGTAAAGGTATTGATGTTATATCGGAAGATGAAGTATTTAGATGATACTATTATACTTGCAGATAACCCCTGTGACCTTAGAGAAAAATAATATGAATATTTTTTATGAATATTGAAAAGAATGGAAGTTGAATATTAATAAAACTAAGGTGGTTGTATTTTGATCAAGAAAGAACAATAATGTGTTTAGGATAGGCGATAATGTTGGGCCCATAATGTTGTTGAAGTAGTAGATCAATATAAGTACTTGGGTCTGGTTTTTAAACGAAATGGAAATTTCCTAGCAGCCAAGATGTTGTTAGTAGCTCAAGCTAGAAAAGCTATGCACTTATTATATATTAGAATACGTAATCTTGACCTGACTGTAACCATAAATACAGCTGGCTCGAATATGTTAAAAGACTATTCGATGGATTAGGCCTTAGTTTTATATGGACCCAACAATTCATGCCAAATATAAACGGATTAAAATGTGTTATTAAACAACTATCTTTGATCAGATTAGCCAGACGTGGACAAGTTATGTAAACAACTCTCCCAAGGTAGTATTTTACCGAATATTTAAACATAAACTCCAGTTAGAAAATTATCTGCTGTCGCTACCCTGAAGATTCAGTATCCCGATTACTAAAATAAGATAGATTACCAATAGAAAAGGGGGGATGGGAAAATATACCGCGGGAAGACAGAATTTGTAGTCACTGTAATAAACATGACTTAGCTGACGAATATCACTATCTACTAATATGTCCTTTTCTGCATAACTTCCGTGAGTAATATCTTCAAAAGAAGTATTTTACAAGACCTAGTGCGATACTACTTGATATGTTACTCAATACTGAAGGTTTATCAGATCAAAGAAAACTAGCACAGTTTGTAAAAGAAATCCTCAAGATGCTTAATTAAATGTATGAGTGTGTTGCAGTTAAACGTAAAGTCTCCTGCCTCGTGTCACCATACATCTCCATTTGTACCTTCAATATGTCACAGCTATGACCTTGAAGCGAAATATACGTTTGTTGCTTGTTATTGTGTTGTTGTTGCCTGCGAGTACACAGCCTTGTGTTTTGATGCGAGACGAGTCGGCGAGTAGCTGCATATTTCAACGGCTGCAGAGATAAACTTGCTCAACAATAAACAATTACTGCTTTAAATAAACAAAACAGGATTTATCACATACCTAGATTACCTCAAGCTCATAAAATCGGATACAAGTTCTCGCTGCCACTGAGGACATCCCATTACAAGTATAGTGCAAACCGTAAATAACTTTGAAATCGTTGTCGGATTTTTCAAAAGATTTCTGGATATTAGACACGTAAGCTCTCTCAACTGCCCACGACTGACAGTGAGAGTGTGTGTGTTTGGGGAGAGGCAGTAGCGTCAGTAAATATTCCTGTCAGACACACTTTCAGTGGCCTGTCAGTAATGGGTGATAGCAATCTTTACGTGTGTTGTGAATTTCCAGGCAATTATAGCTCTACAGATTTGTTTAGTCTCTGAAAAAAAAGAGAGTATTTATTATTAACATATTTAATAACTAATATTTAACAACTGGTTTTATCTGTAAAATATGTTAATTTCAGAGACAAGATGTTCGTCTAAGACATAGTATGTCGTCATTGTTACGGTTTGTGGCTGTTTTAGTTTTAAGGCACACTCACCAAGAAAGGGTGATGACCAACAGTAACACACCCCGAGACACCAACCAATTCCAGATGAAAAACGCAGAGATTGTATAAGAAGATATGAAGATAATATGGAGTAAAAGATATAGCAGAATCGCTGCAAACCCCCCACCCCCACTCCTCACCCCCAACCCCCACCAGAGGGAGGCTATATAGTTTTCACCAGGTGGTATAGAGCGATATAGAGCTACACCTTTTACTTCATTTTATGCCTAAATGGTTCAGGAAAGAGATAATAATATTTTAAACCCGTACTTTAATCTATTTCCATGCGGAACATGCGAGGCTCCCAGATGTGCCACTAAGTTTTCAGGCTATTTCCATAGGGACGTTTGTATAGACAACCCCCCTGTGGTAAAGGGAAGCATTATAGTTTCCAAAAGGGGATATAGAGCGACTGTTTTAAAGTTATTGTATGCCTCAATGGTCCAGGAAAGAGATAATAATATTTCAACACGTATTTTAATCTATTTCCATGCGAAACATGCGAGGCTTCCATATGTGCCACTAAGTTTTCAGGTTTTTTCCAAAGGGACGTTTGTATAGACGACCCCCTGTGTTAAAGGGAAGCTATATAGTTTCCAAGACAGGATATAGAGCTACACCTTTTACTTCATTTTATGTCTAAATGGTTCAGGAAAGAGATTATAATATTTCAAACACGTATTTTAAACTATTTCCATGCGAAAAATGCGAGGCTCCCAGATGTGCCACTAAGTTTTCAGGCTATTTCCATAGGGACGTTTGTATAGACAACCCCCTGTGGTTAAAGGGGAGCAATATAGATTCAAAAAGGGGATATAGAGCGACTGTTTTAAAGTTATTGTATGCCTAAATGGTTCAGGAAAGAGATAATAATATTTCAAACCCCTATTTTAAACTTTTTCCATGCGAAAAATGCGAGGCTCCCAGATGTGCCCACTAAGTTTTCCATATTTTTCCAATTACGACACACATGAGTTCATGGTCATATCTAACTTTTAACGAATCAAAATGAGGTATTATGACATGTGACAAGGACAGGCCAGGCTCGAACACTATAAAATGATACCTTCAACATTAGGAGAAGAGAGCGCGGTTTGCAATCGATCGAGTCGAATCCCGATCGTCCTAAGTTTCCCCCAGCTAGTGACGAGTCTGGTCAGTCTGATCCTGTCCTGCATTGATAGATGGGCTGAGAGTAAGTAAAACTATGTGAGTATAAACTGGTGCTGCGTTTCTTTATTATGCGTGTGTGAATGCTGATAGAGACAACTTGGAGTAAGTGTCGTTAACCCAATCACTCCTTGACGGAGCCGAGCCGCGGTGGACAAGGCGAGTGGCAATGCCAGGGCGTAATTGACCACAAGGACCAGGAACGGCAATACATTTAGTAACTGTATCAGGGTCGCTCTGGACGCCCGAAAGCAGTTACGACATTACGCTATCCGCATGGATGACCTATTCCTGCATAGATATATCTAGATCGGTGACGCTAAGCCGATGACCCGTACCCAGATCCGGACATACCAGTGAAACAGGCACTCACTCACTCACTCACTCACTCACTCACTCACTCACTCACTATCAATGTATCAATGTATCAATGTATCAATCTAACAATGTATCAATCTAACAATCAAACAATCAATCAAATTGGAAATCGAGTGACGGATGCTTGACTAATAGTAAGTCTTTGTACTCCATTGTATCGTTGCTGGTGGTACCAGTTACCGGGTCGGGCTAGACGAAGCAAAGAATTTAATCAGACGTCTCCTTGAGGGAGACTGGATTCACACCTGTGATCCCTGGCGATAAGAAATAAGACATTGCGTACAAGGCCAGCAGTGAGGCGTATCAAAGTATAATCGTAAATTCTCCTCGGCGTAATCTATATCTTGCATGTGTACGTAAACAGGATGTGTAGGAAGCACAAGTGCACGAAGGGATGGTATTTCAGATGACAAATGAAAGAGGACAGAAAGATTGTGACCCAAATTTAGTGACTGGTGGCCGTGTCGCACGCACGAATTTTTATTAAATGTATCCTCGAGAGTCAGTAAGAAACAAGATATAACTGCCTTTGTTCTGTAAATCTCACCAAGTTTCAGCTTTCGCCTCTTCCTTTGTGGAATGAGGTTTCACATTTGTAAAATGATCTCTGTTATCTGTCTGTACCATCAACTTAACTGCCCTCACCCCCTGCAGTTTCCCCGTCCCATATTGCCAAGCAGGTGACCCACAAGGAGGAATACGGGCCTCCCTCAGTCCAGACTCATGAGTTATACTGTGCCTACGACAATAAGTTGTGAATACGTAGC